TGGAGCGAGAGCACTTCTGGAAGATCATTAATGCTTTCCGCTACTACGGGTAAGGAACCCGTGGCGGACCCCCGCCCAGCCCGTCGGGGCGCCAGCTGGTTGGGGCAGACCCACCGGAACAGTGGCCCAGTCGTGCTCGCCTTCCGGCCGCCACGCCTTCCAGGCACCCCGACCTGGCCGCCTGTGCTGACCTCGGGCCCCTAAGTCACCTTGTACCACCCAGCCCCTCCCGGCCCTGCACACCCGCGTGTCTGCCGCGCCGTCTGCTGCTCAGCATCGTGTCTTCCGACCTCAGAATCGTGTTAGCTCTCTCCCTCGTCGGCTAAAGGTTTGCCTTTGAGGCCGGTAGGGGTGACCGAAGAAGTGCTCTAACCATTTCAGATAGAAGAGGGTGGTGGTAAAATTGTCCAGTGCTGGGCCTGACTGGCATGACTCACATGTGTTGTCGGTGACCTCCAAACTGAACCCACCGAGGCCGAGATAACCTACACCTACACGTGGGATGCCGAAGGACGGATTTTCCCAAACTTGTTGCCAGTTCTTGTAAGAGCAGTTTACGATTTCCACCCCATCCCTCTTGGCGCTGTGGTGAGCGATTGAATGATGCCTCTCAAGGTCTTTTAATTGGCTGATAAAGAGTCTGGATAGTCTAAATTTTGCAAATTATTGAGGGGGATGAGAGAAGACCCCGTGAGAGGGGCCTGTTTTGTGTCCTTTCATTCTGCCAGTAGGATCTTTAAGTCTGTTTCTCATTCATTCATAGTACAGCCATCTTCCGCATGTCCACGTTTCTTCTAGATAGAAGGTAAAATAAGGTAACCACAAAAGTATAATTCACAGGTCTGAAAGAGACCCAGATCAAGTGGATTTTCAGGTAAGGGTAACACTTGTTCATGTAAGAGAAAGGGCCGTCCACCAGTGACTGTTCTTAGTCTCAGGTTGGAATCAGGTATAGGCATGACCTCTCCTCTAGGAAAACTTCCCTTAGATAGGCTCCTGTTGTGCTTTGTGCAGACTTTTAAAAGCATTGTGTATTTCATTTGTATTATCGTTGTTCATGCATATAAATATCTTGACTGTGACCTTCTCAAGGGCAGGGGCTGAGCCCTATTTATTTTTATTCCACCAGTGTTTGGCATGGCTTGTCAAAGCTCTATTTTTAACAAATAGAGCAAATAGTAGCAAAGAATTACATTTATCATTCCCAAATAGTCTGTCAGTTTTTATCTGATGGTTCATTTAGTATTCTGAATTTAGAAGCTTGCTTAATAAAAGTTTAAAGTTATTTAGCGTCTAATTACTTCTGTGCAAGAACTTTCTTGAAGTTCAAAGATCTTGATGAATGGACTAATTAAACGGGGGATCAGGGAACCAGGGACTGACTGCATTATTTAAGGAACCCAAGAGGGAATTAGTAGTTTGGGTATTTTGTTTTATCAGATTTAGTAGCAACAGAGAGGGGAAGGCAGACTGTCAGAGAATTGAATTTCATGCACAGAGTGTGCCTGGAATAGCCATACATTGAGGGGAAGCAGCTGATGTAAGAGCTGAGTGGTGAGGTGCAGAGAAGTATACATTTTGCTATTGAAAAATCTAGAAAGAACATTGGTTAATATCTCGGACTATATGGGGCCAGCAGGTGGCGTGGTGGTTGGGGCGCTGGACTCCCAGATGGCTGATTGCGGTTTGAGTCTCAGACCTGGCGTCTTGCTTTCTCACTTTCTCTCGCTCTCTGGTCAAATTAAAATATGTAAATAGAATAAATGAAGGTAAATGAAATAATTCTTTAAAAAAAAAACTATCTTGGGAATACAGTGGACCCAGTTAGTTAAATGTGTGTAATTGTACCCAGCTTTAATAGGACTGATTTAGAATTTGATACTTACGGTTAGGTATCTGATGGACTTATGTAGAGCTTGGGGAAGGTTTAAGTCTGGCGCACAGACCTCAGTGTGGCTATGTAGAAAAGGGTGCTTGTGTGGGGATACTTGTGGTCACGATGCTCTTTGCTGATAACTGTATCAAAGCTGAACCTTTTCTCCTTCACCAGTTCAGTGTGATACTGAGGACATTTTCATTTTTAAAAAAATCCTTTTGTTCACATGTACTGTCTTGATGAAACACTTCAAATTCCAGGACTGAAAAGCTGTATAACACCAAAAATACACAGGCTCTTTCAAAAAGTTCATGGAAAGTACATATCATGAAAAAACTGCTTGAATTTCCTGTTTTTGCACCAAAATAAACTTGTGCTGTAATTCCACTTAAAGTCTCCTCATATGCTTAAAAGTGTCACTTGAGACCAGCAGATGGCATAATGGTCATGTCCCTGGACTCTTACATGGTCAACTGTGGTTCAAGTCCCATACATGGGGGCTTTAAACTCACACTGGGCACATGTGCGTGTATGCCTAAGATCCTGAGAGGAGAATGGAGAAGGGATTGAGGTGTGGCCATCCCTCCTGGGGGGTTATATCTCGCTTCCTGTCTGTTGTCTTTCCACCAAGCAAAAATCTATGGTAAAGAAAAAAGGGTCACTTAAAGGTTAGGGAAACAGCATTGTAAAACACATTGGATTATTACATTCCAGCATTTTGTGATCTAAATAGCATTGTCCAGTATCATGCCACTCTTCACATCTAGCTGAATTTAAGCTTAATTTAAATTTGCAGACTTTAAAGTTAGTTGCTCAGTCTCGGTAGCCACATTTCAGTAGCCACAGTGTAGCTAGTTTCTGCTGTATTGGACAGTGCAGATAACAGTTTTTCCACCCCTGAATAGATTCTGATGGACAGTCTGTACTAACCATTTAGCAAGTACTTCTAAATTTTGGAGGGTTTAGTTATTGCTAAATGTCTTAATTAATTGGTAGGTTTAGGGGGCCAACAGGTGGCACCATCTCATGTAGTTGACAGTGGTTCAAGTCCCAGACCTGACAGCTTGAAACATCTTGAAAGACCTTGCCAGGTGCTTTATAAAGCCACCAGGTCTCGGACTTGAACAGCGGTCGACTATGTGGCAGTTCAGTGATGTAAGCATTATGCCATCAGCTGGTCCCAATTTTTTTAAATGGGTTCTAATTTTGTGATTTCTATAGATTTTGTTCAGATAGCATTCTGATTAAGGTGAAAATGGGTATAGCCCTTTTGTACTGAATGGCAAAAATGTTAGTCCTAAAACTACTCTTGTTATGAATGAAGATACCTCAGCACATAGAAAATATGGTCATTCATTGCTTAGTGACAGAGTCCTTTCCGATAACTTGTCATTATGTGACTGTCAGCGTCTGTTTACACACGTGCAGAGAGTGGAGCCTACTGCACACCTAGTCTATATGGTATTATCTTGGGGACCACCATCATGTATGCAGTTGTTGACCGAAACATTGTTGTACAGTGCTTCCCTGTACTATAATTGAAAAATGAAAAATCTATTTGGAAACATCTACTTTTAGAATAACAGGGTGATTTTTTTTTTTTTTAATTGAGACTAGAGCTCATTTTACAGATGAGAAGATAGGCATATAAAACTATGAGCAACTTGCCCAGAGTTATACTATCAAATTGTGCTGGAGTCTGACCTGAAAACCACAATTACTTATAAAATTTTACACTGTATTGGGGGCTAGCAGGTGACGTAGTTAAGGGCACTGGACTCCCACATGGCTGAGCACAGTTCGAGACCCGGACCTGGTGGCTTGCTTTCTCACTTTCCCTCTCACTTTCCCTTTCTCCACCTCCCTCTCCCCTCTCTCATTCACTCTGTCCCTCTCTGGTCAAATTAAAATAAACAAATAAAGTTGAATAAAATAATTCTTTTTTTTTTGGAAAAGTTTTTGGTATAGGGCATGTGCACTCACCAGAAAGACAGAGACAGACCGAAAGTAAGAAATCAGCCTCCCTACCCCAGGTGGGGGGATTGCCATGCCACAAACCCTTCTCCACTCTGGATCTTGGGCACACACACACATGCGCCGGGTGTGAATTTAAGCCATCGGGTCTGAGACTCGAACCATAGTCGGCTACAAGGGAGTCCAGTGACATAGCAATTACACCAACTGCTGGTCCCATGAATAAAATAATTATTTAAAAAAATTCTTTTTTGCCCTGTATTAATAAGGAGTGATACTAGTAAGACAACTTTAGCCTTAGGTATTTAATACAGATTTTAAATGAAGTAATATGACAGTCTATACTTTTTTTTTTTTTTTTGAGAGAGAGTTTTTTTTTTCTTTAGAGCGCATGCGCTTGCCAGGGAGACAGAGATAGAGAGACAGAAAGTGATAAATCACTCCCCGGCCGGGAGGGTGTGGCTATGCCGCAATCCCTTCTCCATTCTCCTCTTGGGATCTTGGGCACGCACGCACACGCATCCGGCGTGAGTTTAAGCCACCGGGTCCGGGACTTGAACCATGGTCGACTACATGGGAGTTCAGCAACATAGCCATTACGCTAACTGCTGGTCCCACAGACTATACTTTTGATAAGGTATGTTTTCTTAATTGAATTTCTAGGGTTGTTTATCTATTGAGTTATTGGAAAAAGCATGATATATTTTTCTGTCTTTCTTGCAAAAATATATCATGCCTTTTCCAACCACCCAATAGTACAGAGTAAATAGGTATATGACCATGACCCTTGGCTCAGACCCAGTATGGCCTCACCCTGATGAAAAGTGACTGGATCAGAGTTGAGAGGGGTCACTGCCTATACCAGCTTTCTAGAGAGAGCTGGAGACAGATACTCTTGAGGAAAATGACTCTGGGTGCACACTCTTACCTCACCCACCAGAGGATGTGGCCTCCTGGGGTCCAAACAAGAGAGAGTCTGATGTTTGTAAAACACTGCTTTAAAGCAGTGTCAGCAGAGTTTCTTAAAAGGGCCAGGCATTAAATATTTTGGGCTCTGAGGGCCAAGTGGTATCTGTTACAGGTCTTCAACTCTGCCCTTATGGTTTCAGAAGCAGCCGTAGGTAGTATACAAGCAGATGGGTGTGGCTGTGTTCCAGCAAGACTACAGAACCACCACGTAGCCTGTGGGCTGTAGTTTG